TAAGACCCTCCTGTGTGAAGTAATGTAATACCCTTGACCACCTGTTTCCCACCTGATGTGTGACTTTAATATCCTGACCATCTGTAACCCCTGCCTGATGTGTAATAGACAGATAAGCCCGAATCAGTGCCACACAGCCCTAGAATTTAGTATAAAGGAAAGAACACAGAAGACCAGCTTATGGCACTCGGTGACCCAGAGACTTGGTGGCCACTGGCTGTTCGTGATCTTGCCCTAGGTCACAGCCAAGACTCTGCTCCAGAACATCAGCGGGCACTAGCCCGGAGTGCACCCCCAGAGATGTGGACGCTGGCCGCAGCCGACGCTGACCACGAATCACCTTACAGGAGAAGAGAGTCGCGCTCCTTAGATCTGTGCAGGTACAGGGAGTGGCACCTGAGGGGCGGTAGTTAGGAGAAGTGTGCTGTGTGAGTAAAGCATTTAAAAAGGCTACCGGCATCTGCCTATTATTACTACCCTTGCTCCCTGCTCAAGACAGCTTTTTTTTGTTCGTTTGTTTTTGAGACAGAGTCTGACTCTGCAGTCCAGGCTGGCCTTGAACTCACAGCGATCCTCCTGCCTCTCAGCCACCCGAGTGCTGGGACTTGAGGCTTGTCTTATCACCCCCTGGCTGTGTTCTGGTTTTAATTCCCCTTATCCCCCAGAGCTAGGAGCCCCACAAGCTGGAGACAAAGCGCTCCTGCCCCAGTCAGTGTGTATGCTCTTCACTACTTTTCTAATTCTGTTAGATCATGTAGTACATTTATGTAGCGCATTTATCACACTATTCTGTTACTTTAAAAGGTTACGTGTTCATAGCTAAATGGATGTACACTGAGGCCATATTTGTAAGTGAAATAAAGAGGACACACTTGAGTAAACACCAAATACTTCCTCTGGTGTGAAAAACTAATCGTGTAAATAAGGTTCAAATGGTATAACTGATAATGTGAAATAGGAAGAAAAGGACTAAAGGAGCAGGGGAAGTGGGAAGGGTAGGGGAAAGGAACGAAGGGAAAAGAAAAAATATGAGAAAAGGGAAAAGTGGAAATAAAGTCTTTCTAAACAGGGAAGGGAGGAGGGGGTGAAGGGAGGGCAGGGAAATGGGGAAAAAAATAAGAACCAAGATGCATCATGTGAAGGTACAAGAGCCCAGTGATGAATGTAACTGTACTGTACACCTAAAATTACCCCAAAAATGTAACAGAAAGGAAAAGGTTAGTGCAGCTGGGTATAGTGGTACACACCTGAAATCCCAGCACTGGCGAGGCTGAGGTGGGAGGGTTATGAGTTCAAGGCTAATTCGGGTCATAACAGGGAGACTGTCTCGTAAAAACTTTATGTATATCTGGGCAGGCGGCACACACCTGCAATCCCTTGTACTAGGAAGGCTGAGAAAGGAGAATTACAAGTTTGAAGGCAGCCTGAACAATTTAATGAGAGTTTGTCTCCCAAAAAAAAAAAAGGTTAAAGATGTAGCTCACCACTCCCTGGATTCAATTTCCAGGATACTGCAATAAATAAATGCACAAGTAAACACAAAAATGGAAATAACGGTACACGTTTTGGTATCGCGGTTCACTGCAGCAGACACAGGCTTTGTCTTGGGTCTGTCCGGGGCTGCCTTGTGGCTGCAGGTAGCACACCTAGCGCCAGGCCTGGGCTGAGAGAGGCAGCGGCGCTCCTGCCTTTGCCTCCTCCGTACACACCGAGGTCTGATACTGAACCTCTCAAAACAGAATGTCTACTCCGCGGACCGCATGCGGTGCCCACTTCCAGGCGCAGGAAGCGGACGCCTCACACCTGGTGGGCTCGCTCTGCGAAGTACTCGCTTTTCCCATGTTCCACCCCAGCTCCCCGGGCAGCCCGGCCGAGGCTCCATTCACCTTGAACCGCGATCTGAGTTGGGAACGCGGAGACGGGGCAGGAAGGGGTGGCCTCCTCTTGGTTTCCAAGGCTGGATCTTAGCAATTCCTTTGGCTGCGCCTCAAGAGTCGACCAGCCAGCTGGGCTTTGTGTGATGCCCAGGGAGCCCCCCCCCGGCACCTGTGCCCAATGCCCCTCCGGAGGGGCCACCGCAAGCGCAGAGCCAGGGTGCCCAGCCTAGAGGAGGCGCCTGGAGGTGCGGGAGGGAAGAGGCTCAGAGGGGCTGTGGTTAGACGCTTGGGTTTTCTAACTGAACATTAACCGCAGGTGGTGCAGACGGCCGCCCTCAAGTTCGCAGGCCACGCTGGGGGAGGTGTCAGGGAGTATATCAGAAGGTGGACATCAAAAGTTTGGCTCAGGTCCTAGAACAAATGAGGAAACAGGCACAGAGGGGCCCTGTGGGCATGGCGCCAACCCCATGAACAGTGACCACTGCCGCTGGCTTCGGGCCATTTAACCCACTCGTGGCTGTCCACCGTGTCCTGAAGCTGGGCGGCGCGGACCCGGGTCTGAGAGGTAGGTAGGGGACACAGTCCAACATGTTGGGCGCCAGAGCTGGGGACCGCATCCTCCGGGCCCGGTGCCCTTGGCCGCTGAGCGGGGAGGCGGGCGAGACTCGCGTAGGGCCCCCGTGCTCCGC